ATTAATATTTTACTTATTTATAGTCCATAATGAAGAGTTTAAGCTATAAAAACACATAAAGGTATGATAAAACCTAAATTGAGGAAATATGAAAGAGAGTAATTTAGGAAGTAAGTTGAACAATATTTTTATTGGTTTAAAAAAGCATTTCATTAACTTAAAATATTTCGATTATATAAAGCATCCAAAATTTTAATTCATAAAATCATTTTAATGACCGTTTCAAGCAGGAAAAATTGTGTTTTGTATTTACTGTCATCTTATTCCCAAGTGTAAGAGAAATATTCAATTGCAATTTTTACGCACATAAGAATATTACAAATTATAATCTATATCATCCACATAACCGTCAGGGAACACTGTTTGAAACCGTATATTATTTGCCTGGTTTTACAGTCATCGAAATACAGATCTTAGCTATTAACATACCAAATATTACAAAGAGCATGTTTCACAACCTACCTTTTCGTATTTCGTATAATCTTCTCCAATTCGACATTGGCATGACATGTTTATCTAAGCTGATAACTGCGCAACTGTTTGCCTCACGTTTTTGTCAGTATGGTCAACGCGCGTTCTATGAAAAAACTATAAATAAAGTGGCGTCTTCCCCTTTATGGCATCTTCCCTCGAATTACCTATGCGGAATAACTTTTTAATTTTATCGTATCCAGGAGATCCAAATCTATAAAAAAACATTATTTCTTTTATTTACACCTTTTTGAGCACAAATCAACCTCTTTTTAACATCTTCCTTTGTAGGTCTATAAATAATTTGTAAATTTATAAATAATGCCTAGATCTATCTATTTGTTATATCAGGATGGAGAGGAAAGAATTATGGGCGCTTTCACGCTCTGATCAAGTGTCTCGCGACCGGGATGATATCATGATCGCGAAAGAGACAATGTCCGAATAACGGCCTCGAATCGGAGTTGTCCGATTTTTGAAGGAGGCCGGCGTCAACCTTTCGAAAGTGTTTTTTCTCCTCTCTGCTGCCTCTGCGTGCCAGCCTTCTCTCTTCCTCGTTCGGATAGAAAAAAAAGAAGCGATGTTCCCGTGAAAGTTGCCTTCTGGCTACTACGAAGTGCCGTCATGCCTTCCCGGTGATCTTCCCTAACTCATCCCCGATCTCTTCGCTGTGCTCAACTTCTTATCCTGTTTTGCTCGCAAACATCTTCGATCCTATTTCGCATACAAAGTTTCTTTGCCAATTTTTCTCAAAATTACGCAAATATTTTTTCGTTACGTTCTTAAAACGTTTCTTCGTATCCGGGAAAGTTATTTGAGTTGATTCTGTTTCTGATAAATCTACCCAGTATATTAAAAATCATATGAAACCACGATATTATATTTACAAAAGTTATAAGCTCCTTTTTAAGAATTGTGTGTGATCAACTAAAGAGAGGACACACACTGAAAAAAAGATTGGCTG